CGCTGTACCCGGTGTGGCTTCCTCTACATCGGGGAAACCAAGCGGAGACTCGGGGACCGCTTTGCAGAACACCTACGCTCGGTTCGCAACAAACAACTGCACCTCCCAGTCGCGAACCATTTCAACTCCCCCTCCCATTCCTCAGACGACATGTCCATCCTAGGCCTCCTGCAGTGCCACAACGATGCCACCCGAAGGTTGCAGGAACAGCAACTCATATTCCGCTTGGGAACCCTGCAGCCCAATGGTATCAATGTGGATTTCACAAGTTTCAAAATCTCCCCTCCCCCCACCGCATCCCAAAACCAGTCCAGCTCGTCCCTGCCTCCCTAACCTGTTCTTCCTCCCACCTATCCCCTCCTCCCACCTCAAGCCGCACCTCCATCTCCTACCGACCAACCTCATCCCACCCCCTTGACCTGTCCGTCCTCCCTGGACTGACCTATCCCCTTCCTAACTCCCTACCTACACTCACCTTTCCTGGCTCCATCCCCACCTCTTCGACCTGTTTGTTTCCTCTACACCTATCCTCTCCTCTATCCCTCTTCTATCCGCCTCCCACTCTCTCCCTATTTATTTCAAAACACCCTTCCCCTCCCCCTTTTCTGATGAAGGGTCTAGGCCCGAAACGTCAGCCTCTCTGCTCCTATGATGCTGCTTGGCCTGCTGTGTTCATCCAGCCCTGCACCTTGTTGTCTCGGATTCTCCAGCATCTGCAGTTCCTACTATCTCAGGTCAACCAGATCTGTCAGGTTTGTGGAATGTGGGAAAGAGATAGAAACAGGTGGTGCAGGGTTGGGGAATGATGAAGTTGGAAGCTGTGGATGGGTGGTCTCCTGAGGTGATGAGGATATTGATAGTCTGAGAAATGATGGTTTGGTGATCAGGGGTGGAGTCATAATCAAGGGGGGTGGTAAGAAGAGGTGTCAGAGAGTTGGCACCTAGCCTCAGCGATGTAGAGGTTAGTAAGCCATACCATTGCTGCTTTATTGGCAGCTTTGATGGTGAAGTTGGGGTTGGAGCAGAGGGAGCGGAGGGCTGCATGTGCCAATGGGGAGAGGTTGGAGTGAGTGAGAGGGGTGGAGAGGTTGAGGTGATCAATATGGAGACAGCGGTTGCACATGAAGAGTGTGAGGGAGGATAGGAGGCCTTGGGGAGGTGTCCGGGAGGATGAGGCTTGTTGGGGGTGGGAGAAGGGGTCAGCAGAGGGTGGGTTATACTCCCGGTCAAAGGCGTGGAGGCTGAGGTGGCAGAAAAAGAATTCAATGTCCAGACGAGTACGGAATACCAAGGGATTACCATGATGCTGCTGTATTAAAACTGGGATTTTGATGAGGCACAGGCCTGCAAACAATGAGGATGGTGGTCCACCAGACAGAACAGCCATCAAGAAATATTCAGGATACTCCATGAAATTCCCATGGCTGCACATGTTTTGATTCAAATGACTCAAGCACATCCACGTTGACAGATCTTCTTAAGGACTTGATATAGGTTCACAAATTGTCTCATATGTACCAGACGGTGGGTAAACCACAACATAATTTCAACTGACACTTCTAACTCCCTAACCAGTTTTCCAGGGATCTTTTGCTGGGTTGTTTGTACACTGAATGGGACCTTCATCAATATCAAAACTGAGATATCAGTATAGATTTTTTTCTTTTAATTAACCTTTTCAGAGATGTTATGACACACTTCTGGAGTAGGTGGGACTTGAACCCAGATCTCGGGTGATTAACACTGTGCCATCCTTATTGTTATGTGGATGGTTACTTGATTCCCAGAGGCCATTCCCTTAAGAAGATTACATCTGTTATGGGATGTGAACATCTTTGGTTAGGACAATATTTATTGCCCAACGCTAATTACCCAGAGGCCAGTATGAGTTAACCACACTGAGGGTCTGGCGTCACGTGTAGGCCAGACTGGTTGAAGATGGCAGATTTCCTTCCCTGAGGGACATGAGTGAACCAGATGGATTTTTACATCAATTGCCAACAGCAACTTGGCTGCCATTAGGTGAGCTACTTAATTCCAGGTTTTTTTCATTGAATTCAAATTTCAACCTTTTGCCACAGTGAGATTGAACCGACATCTCCAGATAGTATCACCTCAAGTGTATGAAGTGTCAAGGAGCAATATCATATCTGCATTTTGGAAGAGCTTGAAGAAACTGCCATTTCTTTGAAGTGCAAATGCAGGGTTTGTCAATACCTCGCCCTCCAAATTGGCTTAAGACCCGAAAACTGAAAAATCCTCTTTTTCTCCTTTGGAATTTTCTGCTCCACTTTGGTTGGGCATCCCTGTTTATGGGAGCAGTGATGATGATTCTGCTGCAGTCTGCCTTCTGTTAGAATGTTCTGGAACAGCTGTGACAAATTTCCTCCTTCTGGGCTAAGAACCCCCCCCACCCCGAGCACGCACCCACTGCCAAACACTGGAAAAGGACACCAGGAATCTGCCCAGAAGTCAAGGCCTTTGGAAAAATGGGGAACCCTTGGGATTAAACGTGGACTTGAATAGTGTGAGAATGGACCACAAATATCTTTAGAACTTTGTTTAGAAATGTTTTAATGTTGAGCATTAAAAAAAAATACAATATTCAACAAACCTTTAAAAAACAAGATGAAATGTCTGATGTAGCTGAAACAAACAGAACGTGGTTCAAGTCAAAAGGCTCACAGAGGTGAAGTTAGTCACATGCACACTTGGCAAAAGCTGATAACTTGTTCATCGCACATGTAGCATGCACTCTGAGAATAAGCAACAATTCAAGCTGTTTCGATGCTGCTTTGCACGTAATGAGAGGTGTGAGAGCAGAAATGCTACCTCAAAACTTCCATATGTGTGTTCTGATTAGTCCTTTTTTCTCACTTTTTGTCAAGTCCTAACTAGTGTTTTGGATGAAAGAAAATTACAGTTCAGAGGCATAAGGAAGTGACAATTTTACTGTTTCCTTCTTTCTATCCATAGATGCTTTTACTCACCTCTGATCATCTTTTCTTCCACCACAAAACCCATGCCTGGACTTAAATGTAAATTTTATAAGCATTGCCCAAACCTGATGGCTTTATTTAACTCTTGTTCATTGCCAATTGGAAGCCAAATACTTCTCTAGGGCTTGGTAGCTCTGTACTGTAAGGATCTTTCACCTTCTTGTTACCTAATAAAACCTGGCAGGCAACGCTATCTTCCTCACTTAAATCAAGAAAAAATTATTCTGTAGAAAGGTTTTACATATTACGTTCTGCAGCCAATTAGCACATGAATGGACACCCAGAGAGAAAATAGGGAGACAGACCACAAAATTTAAGAGGTATCTGCGAAGGAGAAGAGCCATAAAAGGCTGGTCTCTTTGCACAGAGTGCATGGTAAGCCTATATGAACGAACAACATCTAATGGTGTAGACTTCTCGAACAGTCCACTCAGGTGAGCTTTTCACATGACTTGCACCGCAGCTCAATTACAACACGGTGTTCAGAAAGAATGCCTTCCCATTGCCACCAGGCCGCTTCAGCTCCTCGAGAAGGCTAATGCCATGTTGATCGGCACCGGGAACATGATGGTGGAGTTTCGCTCCGAAGCAACCTCGGAGAGTGTCTGGAGGTAACGCAGCTGCAAGGCGCTTGGACTCATTGACATCACTGTGGCTGCATCTTTGAGAGCACGGGAGGCATTCAACTCACCTTCTGCAGCAATCACCTGTCAAACAGATGGTCAAGTCTGAAACAAGAGACAATCCTTCTCCTTGACAGTATGTCTATTCACAGGGGGCAGCCTTACACATCTCTGTTACCCAGTCTCCTAACTGATGCATTTTATAGACACTTTCTAACCAACAGATTCAGAGGCAGGCCTCCTGGCTGAGAGGCAAGGGCACTATCACTGCATCACAACAGCCCTGTTGACACTTTTTTTTCGTTTTCACCTTTGTTTCTGTTTTCTCCAACCTGTTTTTGGAGATGCAATTACACACCTCTGGAGCAGGTGGGACTTGAACCCAGGTGTCTCAGTCCAGGGTTGGGGACACTACCTCTGCACCACAAGACAGCCCCTGGCACTCTTTTATACACTTTTGATTTAACAAGTAAAGAACAAAGACATTCACTCATGAGTTGACAGTCCTTGAGGAGGCTGGTCTTCTATTTTGTATGTCTTTTTGAGCAAATAAAATAAGCAAATTAACTAAAAACAGTACCGTTAAGGGATGCCGTAATTAAAATAGTAAAAGACTAACAGTCCCTTTTCATACTCAGTTGCAATCCAATAGAACAGATGAGGGGATTTGATTGGCTGGAAGGCTGGTTTGTGATGCAGAGTGATGCCTACAGCGTGGGTTCTTTTCCCACACCGGCTGAGGTTACCAGGCAGGTCCCACTTTCTTAAACTCAACCCTCACCTGACACATGACGACCCTCAGAAAAAACAAATCTCTCAGCAGATGTCTCTCCAATGAGAGAGGAATCCTCTAGGACTTTGGTGACTACTACAAGAGCAAATTAACCAATTAACTTAAAGGACTATAGAGGCATTGTAACAAAAATTAATTGTCAAAATACACTTTCAAAGCCTGGTGATATACTCTAATCCCTGTGGTGCCCACCAATTGGGAAAGACTTCAAGGTAATCAGTAGACATTGCATGCTGTCCTGTCTTGGATACCCAGTGTAATGATACTGTGGCTTTAAGATGTGTATTTTGTCTTGGCTTCTTTTAGAGAATGATTGGGGGACAGGTGTGGAGCATCCACGAGAAGATAAATAACTTATGAAGCCTTGGGTGCCTTTTTTAAAAGTTGGAACAATAGAAGCAGCCTGAATGGGTGAGATTGAGCTCTCACAGAACCAGGGATGTTTAGTTAGCCTTCAGCAGTAGTTGCTGGGTTCTGAGCAGGGTTGGAAGGCAGTGAATCTCTTGTGGCTTCTACACACTCTCTCTCAGAATCATTTTTTGATGTTCTTTCCTCTTGGATTGGAGAACTGCATGTGAGACAACACAGTGTGGAGCTGGAGGAACACAGCAGGCCAGGCAGCATCAGAGGAGCAGGAAAGCTGACATTTTGGGTGAGATAATCTGTTTTCTGAATTTTCCTTTTGCCAAGGCGTGTTTATGGGATGTTACTATATTGGAACAATTAACTAGTAATAGTTACTGTATCTATTATTCTGTTAAATTTTCCAATAGAGTTGTTATACCAATGCCTTCTTTCTTTCATTGTATTTTAACTATATTGTTTGAATAAATTGTGTTTTGCTTAACGTCGAGTAGTTTGACCAATCAAATTGCATCTGGAGCACAGCACCTCGCATTTACCTTTAAGATAAAAAAAATTAGGGTCTAGGCTATCTTCTTAGTACATTTTGAGGGGGTCTGGTCTCGTCCATGACACCAGGCATGGACATAACCATGGAAAAGAGGCAGGCAGTAGTATGCAGCAGACCCTTCAACAGCCTCCTGCATGTACCTCCTGACATTCACCGAGGACAGGCCCAGGAGCAGACTCATGACGGGGCTCTCCAACTCGCCCATCTCCCTCTAGATGGATGAGCAAAGATCTGGAGTGCAGATATTAAGTACAAATAAAGTCTAAAGAGGAAGCTGCTCAAGAAAGAAACCAGGGGCTACAGCCCATGCACACATAGCTCACAGGCTGCTTGTTCTAGGCCACAGAAAATACAGGTGGCTGAGGAATCCACAAACTATCATAAATGCATTTATTGCACAGGAATGTTGTATGCAACACAATCTATGCCAAATTCTTGATGCTTCGAAGGAGTGTACTCTCTTCATGCTATTTTATTCAACCAATACAAAACAGCCGAATGAAATTAGGCCAAATTAATCAGGCAATAGCCCCTTAAAGGGGCACTGGAATTAAAAACAGTATCAATTTAAGTGAAAATGACATTCCATGGAGTTATGATGTACCCCAACCCCTGTGCCGCCTACCACTCATGGTAAAGGTGAAGGATATTCAAGGACATCTTGTGCTCCCATTCTAAGCTGACTCCCTTTATATGTGCTTTCAGTATATAATGAAACAGCCTCCATCTCCAGTCAGCCACTGATCCCAATCAGTCATTCACAAAAGGTCCAACAAACCCCAGCATTCAGAACCCCATAGCAGGGGGCAAGAATTTTCAATTTCCACAAACAGTTGTGTCAGAAATTGCTGCAACATTTCTCTCCTAAATGACTTAGCTCAAGTTTGAACATCTGTCAACGTCAAACTGGATGACTAACAATGGGAGGGGGACCATCAATGAGGGTCACGCCCTCTGGAGGCAGACTGTTTAGAAGGGCATAGGGAAAAGGTGAGAACGAATGATATCTTTAGCTCCCTGAGAAGAGGCTGCAGAGCAAACAGAGGCTAGAGAAAGGTGCATCTCAGCCGTAAATGTAGCAGGGGCTGCTACACTTGAGCTAGGCTTCCATGTCACACTAGAGGAGGCTTAAGAACAGGTTTGAGCACTGTGTTGCAAACATGTATCCGAGGAGATGGGAAATGGTCACCACCACTTTAATATAATTTTAATATGCTCCGACTCTGACGTTTCCTATCAGGGAAAACAAGTTTCTCATGTATTGGAGATAGTAGGAATTGCCGATGCTGGAGTCTGAGATAACAAGGTGCAGAGCTGGATGAACACAGCAGGCCAAGCAGCGTCAAAGGAGCAGGAAAGCTGACGTTTCGGGTCTGGACCCTTCTTCAGATTTATTTTCTCATGTATCGGATGCTTTTAAACATTTTTGACATTCAGTCAATCATGGGTGAAATGCCTGCCACATTTATATACCCTGCACTCATTATTTAATGCCCTTAGCTTCAGTAGCATTCTGTCAAATTGGCACTGCAACTATTCCAATGCGAATGAGAGAAGACCACATAAGACTAGCATTGATTCTGGCTGAATAGGTGTCCAGAGGGATATGGCACTTAATCATGAAGGCCAGGAAGGTACGCTTTCGCAGGAGGTGACACAAAGCTGATCTCTACCCGCTCCCAGACATGGTAGTTCAATCGGGCAGGTAAAGATAGTGTTGGCACCAGATTTAGGGAACAATAGCCAGGTACATCAACCCCCGACGACAGCCCTCAAAACCCAGAATTTTTTAAAATTCTCTTTTATTCATTCATGGGATGAGGCTGTCGCTGGCCAGGCAGCATTTATTGCCCATCCCTAATTGCCCAGGGGGCAGTTAAGAGTCAACCACATTGCTGTGGGTCTGGAGTCACATGTAGACCAGACCAGGTAAGGATGGCAGTTTCCTTCCCTAAAGGACATTAGTGAACCAGATGGGTTTTTCTGACAATCGGCAATGGATTCACGGTCATCGTTAGATTCTTAATTCCAGATATTTATTGAATTTAAATTCAATTACCCGCCGTGGCAGGATTTGAACTTGGGTCCCCAGAACGTTATCTGGGTGTCTGGATTAACAGTCCAGCGATAATGCCACTAGGCCATCGACTCCCCAATTATTCACTCGTGGGACATGGGCATCGGAGGCTGGCCAACATTTATTGCCCATTTCTGGTTGCCCTTGGTAAGGTGGTGATGAGATGAGTGACTTACTCAACCATTTCAAAGGGCAGTCGAGAGGCAGTTGCTATAAGACCTTAAAATAAAAGGAACAGCAATAGGCCGTTCGGCCCCTTGAGCTGATCTGACATTCCTCACATCCACTTTCCTACCCTGTCCCCATAACCCTTGATTCCTCAACTGATCAAGAATCTATCTCTGCCTTAAATATACACAAGGACTCTGCCCTCACAGCTCTCTGTGGCAAGGAGTTCCAAAGACTCACAGCCCTCTGAGAGAAGAGATTGCTGTGGCTCTGGAGTCACATGTAGGCCAGAGTAGGCGAGGTTCCCTAAAGGACTTAATTTTCCCAGGCGGGTTGTTCCAGCAATTTTAAATGGTTTCAGGATCATCATTAGATTCTTCATTCCTGATATTTTTAATTGAATTCAAATTCCATCATCTGGATTCAAACTCAGGTCCCCAGAACATTAGCTGAGTTTGTCCAGCAATAATGCCACTAGTCCTTTGCCTCCTCTTTCCTTGTGGAGATAGTTCCACAGCACTCAAAATGCAACGGAGGAGAACGTATTAAAAAAATTTTCTTCCACCACTATTGTTCATCAGTTACAATAACATCGGAGTTGGAATTGAAGAGGCAACTGAATCACTCAGGAGTGTATTCACACCCAGCTGCTGTGGGACAGGGCTCCCTCATCTGAGTTTGCATGTTGGAGGGCAACCACTGAGGGTAAGGGAATTGAAGGGAGGAGGTCGTGGACTGAAAACTCCAGAATTACATTCAATTGAAACAAGCTGGGAGAGAGGGGCTGCAAAATTGATGATCTTTGCTTAGATTGTCTTCAATTCAAAAGGGAGCCAAGGAGCATTTGGAGGCCAGGCAGGAATTTGGAGTTAAGGCCACACTCAGAGGAACCATGAGATTATTAAATGAAAGAGCCAAATGGCCTCCTCCTGCTCCTATTTTGCTCATCCTTACTGAATTTGTCCAGAGATGAAAACCAGCCTGATTATCCCATCACATTTCCAACATGTGATTGAGCAGGTCTCGCACCAACTTACCTTGGCTTTGGCATCCCTCACAGCTTCAGCCTCGGCTGCCATCGCTCTTTGCAAAACCACCGGCAGTCTGACGTCTTTAAATTCCACTCGCTCAACCTTAATCCCCCATCCCTTCGATGCATCGAACAGAAGATGCTGAGGGTGGGGGACAAGGACAAGATAATCAGAACACAAAGGTGCGGTACAACAGCTGCACTGGGTTACACAACAATCTGAGAGCTTTATACTGAGGTTCAGACAGCGTTACATGTCTAAGTCTTATACTGAGTACCCACGAGTATCTGTAGTGTGGCTACTGAGAACCTTATAATAAGGGTGGAGTCCAACACTGTTAGGCATGAGAAACCGATGTTAGGATCATAGGAATATAGGAGGAGGAGTACATTACATCTGACTCCAGCTTCTCCCCCTCAAACTGCACGATGAATTCTATCATATTTTGATCACTGCCCACTAGGGGTTCCTTACCTTAAGCTCCCTAATCAAGTCTGCCTCATTACACATCACCAAATTCAGAATTGCCTGTTCCCTCATGGGCTCTACCACGAGCTGCTCCAAAAAAAATCTTGTAGACATTCCATGAATTCCTTTTCTTAGGATCTGCTACCAACCTGATTTTCCTAGTCTACCCTCATATTAAAGTCCCCCATGATTTCTGTAATAGTGCCTTTCTTACATGCCTTTTCCATTTCCTGATTTATTTTCTTCCCCACATGCTGACTACTGTTTGGAAACCAGTACGTAACTCCCATCAGGGTCCTTTCTTCCTTTCTGGTTCCTCAACTCTACCCACACAGATTCTACGCCTTCCGAGTTGATATCAATTCTTCCTATCAACTTAATTTAATTTCTTATTAACAAGGCAGCTCTGCCCCCTTCTGTCCAACTGCCCATCCTTTCGATAGGATGTGTATCATTGGATATTTAGTTCCCAGCCCTGATCCCCTTGCAACCACATCTCTGTGATACCCACAAAATCGTACCTACCAATTTCATTATGCGCTCCAAGCTCATTTACCTTGTTTTGTATAGTGCATGCTTTAAGTACAATACTCCCAGTCCTGCATTGACTGCTCCACTTCTCATAGTTGCCCCCTTATCTGCTGTGCATGAAGTTAGATTTCTGGTCATTTCCATTGATTTTTTTGGAAACTTTAATCATTTCTCTTCAGCCGACCCCCTCTCCCTTAACTTTTTCCATAATTTTCCATGCAACTGAATTCACTCCCCCCCAACCCGGCACTGTTTAGCCTTTATTGAGAATGAGGTCAGCAACAGATAAACTGAGAGCCTTTTCCATTGAAAAAAACTAGGAGCAGGAGAAGGCCATTCAGCCCTTCCAGCCTGTTCCGCCATTCAATGCCATCATGGCTGATCATCCAACTCAGTTCCCTGTTACTGCTTTCTCCCTTTGATCGCTTTAGCCTTATGACCAAATTCCAATTCCTTCTTGAAACATTCAATGTTTTTGCCTCAATTGCTTTCTGTGGCAGTGAATTCCACAGTCCCATCACTCTCTGGATGAAGAAATTTCTCCTCCTCTCAGTCCTAAATGGCCTACCCTGTATCCTTAGCCTGTAACTCTGGGTTCAGGACTGTTCAGGACAGGTACTGGAACATTCTCCTGCCTTTCCCCTGTATAGTCCTGTTAGAATTTTATTGGCTTCTTTGAGATCCCCCTTATTATTTTAAATCCCATTAAAATAGCCCAAACTAATCCAGCTTCTTTTCAGATGTCAGTCTGCCAAATGTCTGTTGCACTCCATCCAGAGCTAGAAGATCCTTTCTCAGATAGGGAGACCAGAACCGTACACAACATTCCAGGTGCCATCTTAGAAAGGCCGTGTACAATTGCAGTAAGACATCCTCTCGCTATGAAGGCCAACATCCCATTTGCCTTCTTCACCATCTGCTTCCCCTGCATGCTTACTTTCAGTGACTGGTGTACAAGGACACCCAGATCCCACTGAAGCTCCCCTTTTCCTAATCTATCACCATTTGGATAATAATCTGCCTTCCTGATTTTGCTACCAAAATGGGTAACCTCACAGTTACCTACATAATACTTCATTTGCCATGATTCGTCCAAATCACACTGGAGCTTTTCTGCATCCTCCTCACAGCTCACCCTCCCACCCAGCTTTGTGTCACTTTACTGAGGGTGAACCGTATTATGAAGGCAGTGTTTTACCTAAGAGTTTTGCACTGAGGATGGTATGTATTATGGATCAAGAAACTTGTAGTAAGGTTAGTTGAGTTTGATTCTTTTGATTAAGTGTAACTGTTGATGAGATGTAATTTATTTCCATGCTGTTGGTCTACCTCCATCTCCTGTGCCATGTGTTCCCGATCAGAAAGAACGTCTGACAGGCTCTTGGTGCCCAGAATGTTCCGCAATGTTGTCTGGGCCAGCAGGTGAGTAACACTGTCCACATTGATTACACTGATGACTGACATCACAGGATCGAAGACACGATAGTAGACAATAGCATCCACCATTATCGTGACAGAGTCTTTCGTTAATACCTGCAGATAAAGCCTATTAAATGGGTTAACTGTATTAACAACAACAGATAACTGCACCTAGAGCTAAAAGGTAGGTGTAAACGTGATAAGATATGCAATAAACAACTCGACTTTATGGCTCATGAACATTTGTTGAAAGCAGCACACCTACACCTTTTGTTCCTGGGAACTCTACAGCCTTCTGGACTCAATATTGAGTTCAACAATATTAGAGCTTGAGGCACCTTCTCCCATGTCCTTACCCCAACCCCCATAAACCAGGCCTTGTTGTCACATGGTCTGCTATTACACACAACCCATTGTTAGCCACTAATTGTCCCTTTTAATAGCTATTCATTCGTTATCCACTCCTTTGTCTGTCTAACTGTTTTCCTCTCTCTTTGAGCTCTATCTCCACCTATCATTTAGTCCTTATCCCCTCCCCCTACCTTTTTTTTTACATTAAAAAATCAACTGTTCCATAGCAACCTTCAGTTCTGAGGAAGGGTCAATCGACCCAAATCGTTAACTCTGATTTCTTACCATAGATGCTGCCAGGCCTACTGAGCCTTTCCAGCAATTTCTGTTTTTGCTCCTATGTACACAGAGCACTGTTTGCCGCAAAGTAAAGGAGTGTGTTCATTCTTTTGTGAATCACCCAGGTGCTTGGGGAACCTATAGTTCCCTATTGTTTTCTCCATGGCAACATCTCAGCCAATCAAAGTTGAGTTACACACCAACCAGCACCTTTTCTCCTCCAGTATCAATTGTTGTGATTGTTTGAAATTTGGCATTCTTGCATTTGTCCTGAAACACCAAGACGAACAGCTTCAGCAACATGATCCTTTATTCAGGAGTGGTGTACTTCTGTCAACTTGATTCATGCGCCATAGCTTTGCTGCCTGGGCCAGCATTTATTGCCTGTTCCTAATTGCCATTGAGAAGGTGAGCTGCCTTCTTGAACCACTATAGTCTGTGTGTTTTGATCAACCCACAATGCCCTAAGGGAGTGAATTTCAGGATTCTGAACCAGTGACACTAAAGGATCGGCAATATATTTCCAAGTCAGGATAGTGAATGGCTTGGAGGGGAACTTGCAGAGGCTAGTGTTCCTATGTATGTGCTGCCCTTGCTATTCTAGATGGAAGTGGTCATGGGTTTGGAAGGTGCTCTCTAAGGATCTTTGGTGAATTTCTGCAGTGCGTCTTGTAGGTAGTACACACTGCTGCTACTGAGCGTCATTGGTGGATGGAGTGAATGTTTGTGGATGTGGTGCCAATCAAGTGGGGGCTGCTTTGTCCTGGATAGTGTCAAGCTTCTTGAGTGTTGGAGCTGCACCCATCCAGGCAAGTGGGGAGTATTCCATCACAGTCCTCACTTGAGCCTTGAAGACGGTGGACAGACTTTGGGAGTCAGGAAGTGAGTTACTCACTGCAGTAATCCTAGCCTCTGATCTGCTCTTTGTGAGACAGTATTTATGTGGATAGACCTGTTCAGATTAGACACTATAAAAGAAAGTTAGTGTTTTTTTATAACTAGAAGCTCAAAGAAAACAGACAAAGATGTATTAAGATAATCTCCTGTCAGGGAAATTGCTTGATAGCTTGCTGTTCAGGTCACGTTCTGTGGTTGTAAATATTACTTTTAATAACTGTTATTAAAGTCACTGATAAGTACTATGAAATGAAAGCCAGTAAACTGGCTTAGTTATGACTATTGTTTAATTATCAGCAGTTTTTAATGTCAACCTATAATTTTCTAACCCGGGATTAACAAATCCCCTCTGAGGTATTTGTAAATGTTCCTGTGGTAACATTTCAAAAAGTATGTTAAGTTCTTCAATGTCAACATCCTTCCACAAGAAAAATAAATTAACTATTCATGCATGTCATTGCTGTTGTGACTGCATTTCTAAATTAACTTATTGAGGCAGGGCACTTTCAAATATATCTGGGGTAAGGACATTATGGCAAAACTGATAGAATTCAATTCTTAAAGCACATTTCATAATTTCAAAAACACTCCAAAGTGCTTTAAAGCCATTTGAAGTGCAGTCATTGTTGTAAATTAAAGTGATACAGCAGTCAATATATGGATAGGAAGCTCCCACAAACAGCACTGTTATAAACAATTGGATAATCTGCTTCTTAATGATGCTGGCTGAGGATTAAATACAACTCTGGAAGATACTCTGTTTTGAAGTGGTGATAAATAAACATATACATACAGCATAACTCCTGGAAGCTACCTTGTATGGCCACCTATGGACTCACCCTGAGAGTGAAAGAGATCAGCGTCCTTTGCGAGGGACCACTGATGCCATGTGATTCCAACAGATAGGATCTGTGTCAAGCACTGGGTGCTCAGATGTTCCACTTTGTACCAGTATTAAGGGTTCTGACCTGACAGGGCAGCGGGACCTCAGTTTGATGTTTCATCCAAAAAAGGCTGTGACTCCAATGTCAGGTGTGTCACCCTGGATTTTGGGCTAAATGTCGTAGAATGGGATTGAACCATCAACCTTCTGATTCAGGGTCATCAGTGTTAGCACTGCACGGATACCTTACTGTGACATCAAGGGCATAAAGATTGAGGCACAGGAAGATACACGGCTCAGGGGAGGGAGTGAGAGACAGCGGGCGAGCAGTTCAGTGGGATGTTTGACATTCCACCAGCACAGAAACAATGGGACGAATGGCCTCTGGCACTTGTGTACCATCTACACAATAAATTGCAACAACTCACCAAGACAGCACCATCAAAACCTGTGGCCTGAAAGGATTAGGACAAGAAGCACATGGGAAAAGGGCTCTTGTGGTGTAGTGTCAGTGTCTCTACCTCTGGAACAGATGACCTGTGTTTAGATTCCACCTGCTCCAGAGGAGTATAATAACAGATTGCTAGACTCAAACAAAAAGAAGCACATGGCAGTATCAGCAACTCCCAATTTCTGTCATGTGTCGTCCGAGCCCCAATATCACACTATCACACTATCACACTATCACAGGATTAATAGCCTGCTACTCCCTATTCAACTGCACAGTGGGAGCACATTCTCCTTGCAAACTGTAGTGGTTCACAAAAGACCATGAGGCCCTCACCTCCTTAAGGTCCTACAGGATCAGCCAATAAAAGTCTATCCCAATGTTGACAGCTACAGTCTAAGCAACAAATGAATAAAAATTCATGGGCCTATGCCTGGACCGTCTTCTTTCAGGTACAGCAGCAGCAGTTTGGGGCTTCAATTAGACTTGATGTTGTGGGTTATGGAAAGGCAGACTGTGATTCGCCTGCTCAGGATGGCCATCTCACCCAGCTCCACACCTCTCACACGATCAGGGCAACATCAGGTGTGATGGTGTCTGGTGGGAGCGGCTTTGATCCCACCATAAAATGATACAGAAAGATGATTAATTCACCCATCCTGTTTGTATGTGGCTGTTTGAAAGGCATACCCAATTAGCACCTCTTTCTGTTCCCAGTAAATATTCCTTCTTCAAGGCTCTTTAGAAAGTCAGATTTGAACCAGCTTCCCTCACCTTCCAACCCATAACAACTGGTTATATAATTTTATTTTTCTTAGTTTCCTTTGCTGACCACTCTAAATTCTTTGGTTACTCACCACTTCTTTACTATAACTCTTCATGATCCTGAAAACCTTCATTGAACCAACCCTTAACTTCCTGTATCCTTTTGGTCTTTGTCCCTTCATGAGTGGAGGCAATGGCCTCGTGGTATTATCGCCAGACACTGGGGATCTGGTTCGAATCCTGCCATGGCAGATGGTGGAATTTGAATTCAATAAAAATCTAGAATTAAGAATCTGATGATAACAGTGAAACACTGTTGATTTTTGGGAAAAGTCCATATGGCTCGTTAATGTACTTTAGAGAAGGAAATTATATCCTTTCCTGGTCTGGCCTACATGTGACTCAAGCAATGAGAATGACCCTTAACTACCCTCTGGGAAATAAGGGATGGGCAATAAATGCTGTCCTAGCAAGCGACACCCTCATCTCGCGTATGAATAAAACAAAAAAATTGCTTCCAATCTAGTCTGACCTCACTCCCTCTACATGGCCTAAATGCTCACAACCCCAAACCACGTTAGTCACCCAACAGGACCAACTACACTTACCCTACCAATCAAACCTACCACAACCATTCAAAAAATGGAGAATGTTAGTTATAGAGTCAGAATAGGGTGGAGCTAGCTATTATGAGGGGGCATAGTTTTAACCTGAGGTGGATATAGGGGAGACGTCAGAGGTAGGTTCTTTACTCAGATAGTAGTAGGGGTATGGAATGCATTGCCGGAGAGGGTAGTGGAGTCGGCCTCATTAGGGGCATTTAAGCGGTTGTTAGATAGGTATATGGATGATAGGAGAAGGTAGGGGTGGTGGTTAGATAGACCTTAGGTTTAGGGTAAAAATTCGGCACAACATCGTGGGCCGAAGGCCCTTTACTGTGCTGTACTGTTCTATGTTCTATGTTCTAATAGCGAATGGCACTCAAAACATTAACTCTGATTCTCCAAACAGAGGTTTTCATTGATTGGTCCAAATGACCTGGCCCGCCTTTTTCCCTTCAATTGATCACACGATGTGGGCGTTGCTGGCTGGGCCAGCATTTATTGCCCATCCCCAGTTGCCTTTGAGAAGGTGATGGTGAGTTGTCTTCTCGAACAACTGCAGTCCATGTGTTGTAATGGTGCCCTCCAGTAATGCCTTTAGGGAGAGAATTCCAGGATTTTGCAGCAAAGGTATATTTTCAGCTGTATATTTTCAAATCAAGATGGTGTGTGACTTGAAGGAGACCCTCCCACCTCCATTATTTTTGAGTTAATTGAAAAACAGTGTTCAACAAAGGGGAGAATTTATTCAATAAATACACCAAGATGTTTCTCTGCAATTAGCTCACATTGTCCTGGATGGTAACTCTATTTACAGTTCATATCTAGAATTGCATTAACATTTCTGTCATTCTTTCATGTGAATTTACCATAGATTCCCATCAACGGGTGAGACTTACCTCTTGTGGTGGGACAGAGAATGACACTGTCCTCAAGTCAACTAGATTAACTGTATCAGTACAAGGTAAAATCCAGAAAATACCTAAAGGGAGGAATAAATATTGTCACACTTCTAGTTAAGCAATGGCAAGTGTTCTAATGTGGCAAAATGTCCCAAAGAGCTTCCTAGAAGTGGAAATTAAATGAAATTTAACATCGAGTCACATGTGGTAATCTGATTGAAAGCTTCATCAATAATGTAGGTTTTAAGAGCCTTTCTTAAAGGACACAAGAAAGATAGAGCAGTGGGGCGTTTACAGAAGGAATTCTAGAACTCAAGATCTCGGTGGGTGGTGACATGGTGTTATCGTTTGATGATAAAATCAAGGAGGTAGGTGCAAGAATGCAGCATTGGAGCAACACCGAGGTCTGGGAAGAATGTCGGGACCAGGGTGATATGGATAATTTTAGGGGGTGGCGGGATTTGATAATAAAGATTATAATTGAAATGCCATTGCAAAGTGTAGGTTGCTGAGGACAGATAGGGCAGGACATGTTTGTTCTTTTCTTCTTTTTATTCTCTCACAGAATGTGGGAACTGTTGCCAAGGCCAGCTTTATGCACATTCTGATTTAATCATAGACTCATAGAATTTTACAACACCGGAGAACATTCAATCCATCATGTCTGTACCAGTTCCTGAAAGAGATACCCAGCTGGTCAGATTGTCTTTCAACTGCCCTTGAACTGAGTGGCACTGTAGGCCATTTCAGGCAGCAATTTAGAGATAATCACATTGCTATGTCTCTGGAGTCACGTGTAGGCCAGACTGGGTAAGGATGGCAGATTTTCCTCACCGCGGTGGGTCTGGAGTCA